GCAAAACCCGAATCGTCATAAAGGTATTTTAGCTTGTCCCACAATAGACCTATCTCGCAGGATTGGAAAAAGAGAGCTTAATTGTAATAAATACAAGTTAAAAAGCAATAAAAGATGATATGCGCGCGCAACTCGTAGGCTGCAGTGTAGCCAGATTGTATTGTTGCAGAACAAATGTAGAAAATACAAATCGAACATTATAACATTAAAGAAGTGATATAGTGTCAAGTGTTTTGCAACGCCTTAAATCAGACAAAAGAAGAGCTTTAAAGTGGATAAACATCGTTTGCACTTTTATTTAGATAAATGTTTCATCCGGCAACATCGCTCAATGAAATTGCAAAGGAATATGTCAAGTATAAATTAACATAACCTTAAACGAAACTGCGGTGAGTTCAAGTAATATATAAAGTATTAGTTTGCTCTTTGTCAAATTACACGTTACAAAGAAAGAAGGAACGATTCATTCTGAACTGGCCCCTGAATAAGAATATGACGCAAGCCTGTCACAAACTTGCTTCTCATTGGACGTTCACCTGCAGCCTACAAGCGACGCGCTCAGTCCAGGTAATAGGAGATAGGTCTATTGTTTGGTTGATCGTGTGTCTTTGATATGAACGAAAATCGATGAGTCTATCGTTAATATCAATTTTGCTCTGGCTTTACCATACTTATTATCTGTGTCATTGGCTGCTGCGGTCACTTCATTTTCAATATGATTCTGGAGCCCTTCCAATATCAAAAAATTCTCTGCAGCAATAGCCCATTCTCCGTAGTTATCACAACCTTTCAGTTTTGAAATATTCGCAATAAAATCTGACACCGCTATTTTCTGTACTTCTGGAAATCTTGCTCAGCACACTAGTCCAGGAGGTGGCGCCAAAAACATGCAAGAGTTTTCGCAAGGCGGATATTTTCAAAATAGGTCGTACTTTAGTGCTAGAATGCTAGTGTACAGTCAGCACTCACAGTTCCGGGACAGCTGGCTCTGGGACGCGGGCAAAGTTGTAATTTTAAGAAGCATCTAAACTGTTTTCTGAAAGCTCAAAATTTATAGAAATTTTGCACATTATCTGTTTGAAGGTCACAGATAACGTATGTAAATCGTCAGACGTCTAGTTCGTTGCAAAAAGGGGGTCAGACGTCCTCAAAGTTTTTATTTTATGGCATTTTCTTCGGTGTCCTGTCAAAATATATTTTTGCAGGTATTTGACAAATATATTTGAAGAAAATGCCATAAAATAAAAACTTTGAGGACGTCTGACCCCCTTTTTGCAACGAACTAGACGTCTGACGATTTACATACGTTATCTGTGACCTTCAAACAGATAATGTGCAAAATTTCTATAAATTTTGAGCTTTGAGAAAACAGTTTAGATGCTTCTTAAAATTACAAGTTTGCCCGCGTCCCAGAGCCAGCTGTCCCGGAACTGTGAGTGCTGACTGTACACTAGCATTCTAGCACTAAAGTACGACCTATTTTGAAAATATCCGCCTTGCGAAAACTCTTGCATGTTTTTGACGCCAGCTCCCCAACTACACGTTCGAAGACCACGCTACACAACTATTTTACTTCACTGGACGTAACTGGGCCTCATAACCTATTAGAACGTGGGGTTTTTCTTGTAAAGTAAAACTATGGTTTAAACAATATTCATAAATTTTTAATTAACAACTGAAGTACGATAAACAGGCAGCTAGGCAACACGACGCCAACTAATCATAGAATAACTAATAACAATACTAGCAATAATTAAAACAATGAAATTGTCATCTGACATATTAATGACACATATAGGCTGTGCATATAGGTATAAATAATAAACTGAAGGTGTGAACAGAATAAATATTTCGAACTTTATTTCCAACACATTATGCATTTCTTAACTTTTGAATCAAATTTTCCTCGACATTCTTTTGGTATATGTAGCATGTACAGCCAAAAACTCTGAAATTGCTCACATTTGGTTTTGTACCATACCAGATCTCTGATGGTGTTTTGTCTAGTCCGGAAGATGTCTCTCTGTCCATAATGTAATTAATTGTCAAAATTGCTTCTCCCCAGTACTCTTTTAGTATTCTAGATTCCACCATTATTGCTCTAGCTCTTTCTTCTAAACTTCTATTTTTTCTCTCTGCCTTGCCATTCTGTTCAGGAGTATATATGCTACAGTGTAATCTAAAATATACCCTTTTCTGGCACAATAATTTTTAAACTCATTCGAAACATATTCTCCGCCATTGTCACATCTCAAAGTTGCTATTTTCTTATTTAATTTTGCCTCAGCCAAATTTACAAACACTTCAAATTTTTCAAATACTTCCTTTTCTTCTTTTATCATATAAACTACACAAAAATTTGAATTATCATCAATGAATGTAACAAAGTATCTACTAAGATCATAATTTGACGGTGAGATAGGTCCACAAACATCGAAATGTATTATTTCTAGTATTCGTTTACTTTTGGTTCTTTCTCTAAATGGAAATCTAGTGATTTTTCCACTGACACATGGCTCACAAAACTCCACATCTTGTACTTTAACATCCTCTAACCCTTTAACCATCCGCTTTTTGATTATTTCTTTCAATCCTGAAAATCCTATATGCCCATAACTTCTGTGCCATTTTACATAATCGTTTTCGCTACTTTCAACACTCATGGTTTTAGCTTTCACTAAAGAAAACTCAATTTCATACAAATTCTTTCGTTTGCCTATTCCTACTACTTGTCCATCCTTACCTACTATCTTCACTGTGGAATTTTCAAATATTATTTTTTTATCTGACATCTCGAGTTTCTTAATCCCTTAATAAATTTCTTCTCAAATTAGGTATATATAAAACATTTTTAATTGTACAATCAATTTTCTTACATCCTACATTAGTTACTGCTTTGAGGTTTCCAACTCCCATGACCAATAAAAAAACATTGTCTTTAGCAACGGCAACTGAAATTGGATCTCAACATAATTAAACTCGAAAAAACTTGTTTTTTATTGACCATGTGATCGGTACAACCGCAGAATCAATAAAAAACTTTATTCCTTTCACATACCCTGTTTTTTCTCCTATTTCTTTTTTTCCAAGAAAACAAACGGTCCTGTCCACTGGATCTGAGTTTGAACCTTGGAGTGAACTTTCATCTTCTGCCAAGTTATTTTCACTATTGTGAAATCCACCTTCTTTTGATCTGTTGCTGTAATCCCCTCTTTAACTGAAGCCTCTTGTACAACCTCTCGTATTGAAACTTCCTCTTGCAATAAATTCCTTCTCCTACGTTGTAATCTCCTCTTGCACTATAACCTCCTCTTCCATGGTAACCTCTATTTTGAGAACCTCTTCGTACAAAACCTCTACTGTGATCATTGCTTCTTGGTAGATTGTAGGTACTGCCTAATCTACTGTAATTACCGTAATTACTATTTTGCCAGTTATTTTGTTGACAAAAACTCCTTATGTGATTGGTTGAGCCACATCCATAACATTTTTTGTCACTATATTTGTGTGTCGCAAAGGCTGTTGGCAATCCACTGCTATTTACATTCCTATGAAATAACATCCGTTTTTCACTTTCTGCCAAAAGTTTATTCTTTGCATCATCAGATGTATTTTCAACAATCGCACATACATTCTCATAAAACTTTGGCAATGTTAATAACAAATTACATACTTTGTCCTCATCCTTTACTTCGCAACCTGATGCAATCAATTGCCTAACAATATCTTCAAATTCTAAAATATGTTTCTCAAGTGACTCGCCCTCTTTTAATTTCAGTGATAATAACTTTCGTTTCAAAAACATTTTTCCTGGAAGCCATTTCTTTTCATATCGATCTTTCAAAGCCGTCCACATCTGACATGCATTATTTTTATCTCGAATTATATCCAGTTGAGCATCATCCAAACACTGGACCACTATAGATTGGCATTGCTTGTCTTGTTTCTTATCTTTTTCTTTCCCTCTATCATCTTTGTATCCATTATCATTAAATTCATATTCGATCCATTTTGCCACTCCTTTATCCTCTAGCAACACCTGCACTCTAAACTTTCAGGCTCCATAATTATTACAATTTCGTAATTCAATATTGTAATTGTTCTTTGCAGCAGCCATAATTATTTTTTTTTTTTTTTTTATTTTTTTTTTTTCTGCTCACCTGGATGGAACTTCAACTTTTTAATTAATTTTCTGCCCTGGAAACTTCCTGGTCCCATAACCTCTTGTAGTCTGACTTATAGTCTAGTTAGCTTTTCATTAAAACAGCCTTTTATTCAAGTTTCTCATAAACTTATGGAGAATTATAGCGTATTACTTTTATATATATATATATATATTTTTTTTAACTTGATTGAACATCTGTCACTGTACTACTATGGACCTGCGGGGACCTGTAATACGTTCTATAACTAACTTTAACAGAATCATCTTGACTTTATTATGATCTATATATTCTTCGATGGTTATTAGAATCTCTGGTTGTTCATGTATGATGTGTCCTTGCTTATTTTTCAACTTGTGAATATTCCTCCTTTCTGTCTTCAACTTTCCTTTTAGCATTTTCGGGCTTTTGTTTTGCTCTATGATATTAGTTATTTCTTTATTGTTAAAGTTCCATATGCCTTTCCTTGTGGCCTACCTCTATACTTCGAATTTTCCTCCACATAAAACAAAATTGAAGTTTTTTACAGGGCAGATGATTGTTTTATGATACCCTTTTCCGCCAAAAACTAGCACTTGCAATTTGGACTGCTGCTTTTGTGTGGATTCAAGTATTATGCATCTTTCGAAGCCAGTCAAAGAAATGGAATTGCCTCTGGAGGCCTGAACTGCCCAGAGTTCAACATGTTCTTTTGTGATGGTGAGAGCTGTTACTCGTCAGACAAAAAAAAAATCAATACCAACATCGTATCCTGAATGTTTTATTATTATTCACAGAAGAATCGTAAAAACCAAGTCTTAAACCTTGACTATATTTTGCCCTATGTATTCTTTTCAGAAATCCCTGTAGTCCAAATGATGGCAACAGAAGAAGACGATGATGGCTACCACGAAGCAGACCCGGATTCGCAAGGGTCGGGAGGTAAGTAAGTGCGCATTTATTTTTATTTTTATTTTGAGATAAATCTTTTCAAATCTAAATTAGCTTAAAATTAACGCCGATAGCATTATAGCGTTAAAACTACCGAATGGAAACATCTGTCCTAAACGATTCTAACACGTCCCGCCCGACTCAGCAGAGACGCGCTTAATCGGTTAATTAAATAGCGACATTTGTATGGTTATCTTATTAGGTCTTAGTGGAAAATCTGTGTTCATTAATTTGAATTCGTATAGGGGTGGATTCGAATTGTTAAAAAGTTTTGCTTATATTGTCATTAAAAAAGTTTCATCCCCTAAAAATCCATTTGGTTATCCAATTACCTACTACCAAGATAATAAAGAGAAAGTTTTCCCTTAAATGCAGTCAGACCTTCAAAGAAAAGTTATGTGATTAAAGCAATACTTTGTTTGTTTTCGTCTCGAAGTTCATAGTGCGGCAGGGGAAGAGAAAGTTTTTATTGAAATTCTATTTATTGTTAAATTGGCTTTATCAAGAGCCATTTTATAGGGCATAAATTCAAGCATAAAGGAGCCTTTCACGAGAGTAAATTAATAAAAATACACATTGTTTTAAGAGCTTTAGAACAACCCCGAAAAATAAATTATCTTTGTAAAGACCCCATTATCTCACGTCGAGCTTTTTACGAATTAAATTCCGTTTTTGTGTTCACTGACATTATAACAAACAAGGAAGTTAACAAACTGAAAACGAAGCTTGTGTATCTGACGTTGTAGCTTTCTAGATAAAGGAAAAATGTTAGAAGTTTCAGTTTTGCTATTTTTTTAGTGCTAATGATTTCTTAACGGAGAAAAGTGATTTATTTTGGAAAATACAAAATTCCATCAAACGCAAAAAAAAAGTTTCAGGAGTCTAAAAAATAAGTACTAATTGAATTCACATAGAGGATATTTTATCCTTAAAGTTTGGACGATAGGAAATTTAGTGTCAAGGTTAGGACGTGGGACCGACCCATAAATCGCCCTTATCGCCTCCACGCAGGCAGGACTCTATAAATATGCCTTGAGCTTAGAGCCGGTTCAAAGATCTTAACAACTAAGTATAGAAAATGTAGTACCTAAAAATAAACAAACATAAACTCAGTAGCAAATTGTCTACAGAAAAATTATCCTATACAAACTCAAAAATCACTTATCAAAGCCCTCTACTAGTATGTTCTTGTCATTTATTCATTCCCTTTATGTGGGAGCCCATCATCGCTTCTCAAAACTTTGTATAGACGTTACGTGTAGTTCAAAATACCCACCCCCTTATTTTGCGTTAATTATTAACAGACGGGGGATTACCTTGAACGCGTAAACAACCACTGCAATACTGTTTAATCCGTTTCGACAGGGAACTGGGGTGATGGAAAATGCGCATAGGATAACTAATATATTTTTGGCGGTGATTTATTACAGGACAGGACCAATACATTTTATTATTAGTGACTGAAATAAAATACAAAACTTTTTAAAATTGCTATCAGTAGATTAAATTATATTCCTGTCAGGTAGGAGAGTAAATTAATAAATAGGTTCGTGAAAAGAAGCCTCGCTTCGCGCAAAACTTCCGACAGACGAAAAGTTTCGGTAAATAAAGAGATTTTCTAAAACAAACGGTTTTTACTTTCTGACAAGACAGTTTTATTTCTTTGTTCGTTCCCTTCCATAAACCGTAACTGAATTTTAAAGCCTCCCTTCACGATTAAATTAGATGGGACCAATTCATTTTCTACTGTACCTATCTTACCGAGCTGGGAATTTTTGGATTTATTTATGCTTACAGAATATTCAAATCTTGGAAGAACTTCACGAATTTATTGAAAAAGTAAGAAATTTGGGTACTCTACTGATATCAATCCAGGCTATTGTGGACTAGATGATGTTTTCTGGCACATTCACGGGAGAAGGTTATAGCGCTTTCACACTCTGTGAGTGAGCCTTTGGTGCAGAAACCGCCGGCTTATACTACTTAGACATACTCTTGCATATTAAGCTACCAAGCAGTGACGCAGCCAGACATTTTGTCTGAGGGGGGCCATGCAGAAAAAAATATAGGAATATACACAGACCCACTATCCTTTAAGCTTTTTTATAATATAAGCAGTACTTTATTATTTTTTTATTTTTCTCTGAAGCCTTGGAGGGCCCCGGCCCCCTGCCCCCACCACCTGGCTGCGCTTTTGCCTATAAAGTCTACTTCTGAGATTGTTCCAGCTATTCAGTAACTTTTGGGAGTTTTGTGTTTTCCTGGTGCCAAGTTGTACTGGATCCGGAATACCTCCTTTATAAGTCTTCTGCGACATTCCAAATTGCGAAACTGCGTCCATAGGCCTGCTAACGATAGCTCTTCTTGATTCTTCGTACTAAATTATCCTATCTCAGTTCCAAGCTGAATAATTAAAAATTAAGACATGAAGGAACCAAAAATAACTATTCCTGAAACAGGAAGTATTTTACTCCTTATTTCATTACTTGCTGGATTATCTGCTCTAAGAGCGCTAGGTAGGGGTGCTGCTGGTATACCAAAAGCACTAAATGACGCTAAACTGCCGATGGAAACTATGGAAAGTCGCAAGAACAAAAACAAAACAATCAAATAATTAAGACTTAAGCGTTGGGTGAACAGAGAAGTGGTCTTCATTAGAAACCCTACAAAACAGGATGCGGTCTATTTTCAAAAAACTGCTAAACCTACAATTATGATGACAGTTGTTTCTTGTAGCAGATCCAGAATCTGATCTGCCAATATTTGATCTTTGGGAGATGAGCTGTTTCACCTTTTCTCTGGCTGTGTTGATTCTGTTTCACCATTAGCTACTGGCCTAGTGCGATGGAACGTCTCGTATCCTATAAATGATGAAATTAAAATTCCTCTCTTGGCTGACCCATTATTAGAGGCTTTGCGACTTGATACATTTCATCAGCGTCAGAAAGGCAAACGATATTTTTCATGAAGCTACGCATGCGAGCTCACGGTTTTACTGTGATTTTATTTATGTTTTAGTTTGTTTTTTTTTTGCTAGTCGGGATTAGCTAGGAACAGCACTCAGTAATCTCAAGTTGGTGTCTTGGTCTACAATGTCTTCTCCTCATATTCCAGTTTACCAACGTTGTAAATCACTAAGATGACTATCAAGTCAACTTCTGAGAATGTTCCAGCTATTCAGTAACTTTTGGGAGTTTTGTGTTTTCCTCGTGCCAAGTTGTACTGGAACCGGAATACCTTCTTTAGAAGTCTTCTGCGACATTCCAAATTGTGAATCTGCGTCCAGAGTCTTTGAACGCGTTGCTCCGCTAATGGGAGCTCTTCTGGCTTCTGTGTACTCCATTATCCCATCTCAGTTTCCAATATTGCAGTTCCAAGGTGAATAACTAAAAATTCAGATGTAAAGGAACCAAAAATAATTATTCCCAGAACAGGAACTATTTTACCCCTTATTCCATTACTTGCTGGATTATCTGCTCTAGGAGCGCTAGGTAGGGGTGCTGCTGGTGTAGCAAAAGCACTAAATTACGCTAAACTGCCAATGAAAAGCTGCTAGAACAAAAACCAAGCAATCAAATAATTAAGACTTTAGCATTGGGTGAAAAGAGAAATGGTCTATATTAGAAACCCTACAAAGCAGGATGCGGTCTATCTTCCTTCAAAAAACTGCTAAACCTACTACTATAATGACAGTTGCTTCTTGTAGCAGATCCAGACTCTGACCTGCCAATATTTGATCTTTGGGAGTTGTTCCACCTTTTCTCTGGCTGTCTTGATTCTGTTTTTCCATTAGCTACTGGCCTAGTACGATGGAACGTCTCGTATCCTATAAATGATGAAATTAAAGTTCCTCTCTTCGCTGATCCATTATTAGACGCTTTGCGACTTGATAAATTTCATCAGCGTCAGAAACTCGAGCAAAATAAATCTGTGAAGACGAAAAGCAGGAACAAGAGTGATTAGTTTTTTATTCTGAAACATACTCGAAATACTAACTAAGTTTTATGCATATTCTTGCATTGAGCATGACCCAAAGTACGATCATCATCGAATGGCAACAAGAGTGGGATCAGCGTATGCGCAGATGCAAGTGAACATTCAAAAAGGCCAACGATATTTTTCGTAAAGCTGCGCACGCGAGCTCACGGTTTCACTGTGATTATATTGATGTTTTAGTTTGTTTTTTGCTAGTCCGGATTAGCTAGGAACAGCACTCAGTCAACTCAAGTTGGTATCTTGGTCTATAATGCCTTGTCCTCATGTTCCAGTTTACCAACGTTGTGAATCACTAAGATGACTATCAAGGCTACTTCTGAGATTGCTCCAGCTATTCAGTAACTTTTGGGAGTTTTGTGTTTTCCTGGTTCCAAGGATCCGGAATACCTTCTTTGAAAGTCTTTTGCGACATTTCAAATTGCGAGACTGCGTCCAGAAGCTTTAGCCACGTTGGTATGCTAATGGATAGATCTTCTTGCTTCTGTGTACTACATTATCCTATCTCAGTTGCCAATGTTGCAATTCTAAGCTGAATAATTGAAAATTTAGACATAAAGAAACCAAAAATAATTATTCCTAAAACAGGAAGAATTTCACCCCCTATTCCATTACTTGCTGCTTTATCTGCTCTAAGAGCGCTAGGTAGGGGTGCTACTGGTATAGCAAAAGCACTAAATGACGCTAAACTGCCAATGAAAAGTTGCAAGAACAAAAACAAAACAATCAAATAATTAAGGCTTTGGCGTTAAGTGGAAAGAGAAGTGATCTTTATTAGAAACCCTACAAAACAGGATGAGGTCTATTTACAAAAAACTGCTAAACCTACAATTATGATGACAGTTGTTTCTTGTAGCAGATCCAGAATCTGATCTGCCAATATTTGAACTTTGGGAGATGAGTTGTTTCACCTTTTCTCTGGCTGTTTTGATTCTGATTTTTTATCAGCTACTGGCCTAGTATTGCGATGGAACGTCTCGTATCCTATAAATGATGAAATTAAAATTCCTCTCTTGGCTGACCCATTATTAGACGCTTTGCGACATGAATAATTTCATCAGCGTCAGAAATTCGAGCAAAATAAATCTGTAAAGGCGAAAAGCAAGAACAATAGTGAGTAGTTTTTTTATTCTGGAACATACGCGAAATCCTGACTAGGTTTAGTGAATATTCTCTCACTGAGCGTGACCCAAAATACGATCATCATCGAATAGCAACAAGAGTGGGACCAGCGTATTCGCAGATGCAAGTAAATATTTGAAAAGGCAAACGATATTTTTCGTGAAGCTGCGCACGCGAGCTCACGGTTTCACTGTGATTTTATTCAAGTTTCAATTTTTTCTTTTTTTTTTTGCTAGTCCGGATTAGCTAGGAACAGCACTCAGTAAACTTAAGTTGGTGTCTTGGTCTACAATGCCGTGTTCTCATGTTCCAGTCTTCCACCGTTGTGAATCAATAAGACGACTCTCAAGTCTACTTCTGAGATTGTTCCAGCTATTCAGTAACTTTTGGGATTTTTGTATTTTCCAGGTGCCAAGTTGTACTGGATCCGGAATACCTTCTTTGAAAGTCTTATGCGACATTCCAAATTGCGAGACTGCGTCCAGAGGCTTTAGCCACGTTGGTCTGCTACCGATAGCTCTTCTTGCTTGTGTGTACTACATTATCCCATCTCAGTTCCGAATGTTGCAATTCCAAGCTGAATAATTAAAAATTTAAACATAAAGGAACCAAAAATAATTATTCCTAAAACAGGAACTATTTTACCCCTTATTCCATTACTTGCTGCTTTATCTGCTCTAGGAGCACCAGGTTGGGGTGCTGCTGGTATAGCAAAGGCACCAAATGACGCTGAACTGCCAATGAAAAGTTGCAAGAAAAAAAAATAAAACAATCAAATAATCAAGACTTTAGCGTTGAGTGAAAATAGAAGTGGTCTATATTAGAAACCTTACAAAACAGGATGCGGTCTATTTTCATAAAACTGCTAAACCTACAACTATGATGACAGTTGTTTCTTGTAGCAGATTCAGAATCTGATCTGCCAATATTTGATCTTTGGGAGATGAGTTGTTTCACCTTTACTCTGGCTGTCTTGATTCTGTTTCTCCATTAGCTACTAACTGGCCTGGTGCGATGGAACGTCTCGTATCCTATAAATGATGAAATTAAAATTCCTCTCTTCGCTGACCTATTATTAGACGCTTTGCGAGTTGATAAATTTCATCAGCGTCAGAAATTCGAGCAAAATAGATCTGTGCAGGCGAAAAGCAAGAAAAACAGTGATTAGTTTTTTTATTCTGGAACATACTCGAAATACTGACTAGGTTTTGTGAATATTCTTTCACTGAGCGTGACTCAAAGCACGATCATCATCGAATGGCAACAAGAGTGGGACCAACGTATGCGCAAATGCAAGTAAACATTTAAAAAGTCAAACGATATTTTTCGTAAAGCTGCGCACGCGAGCTCACGGTTTCACTGTGATTTTATTTATGTTTTGGTTTGATCTTTTTTTTGCTACTCCGGATTAGCTAAGAACAGCACTCAGTAAACTCAAGTTGGTGTCTTCGTCTATAATGTCTTGTACTCATGTTCCAGTTTTCCAACATTGTAAATCACTAAGATGACTATCAAGTCTACTTCTGAGATTGCTCCAGCTATTCAGTCACTTTCGGAAGTTTGATGTTTTCCTGGTGCAAAGTTGTACTGGATCCGGAATACCTTCTTTAGAAGTCTTCTGCGACATTCCAAATTGCGAGACTGTGCTCTGAGGTTTTAGCCACGTTGATCCGCTAATGATAGCTCTTTCTACTTCTGTCTACTACATTATCCTATCTCAATTCCCAATGTTGCAGTTCAGCATGAATTATTAAAAATTCAGACATAAAGGAAATAAAAGTAATTATTCCCGTTCCTAGAACAGGAGGTATTTTATTCCATTACAACAACAACAACACAATCAAAAAGGGAAGTGGTCTTTATTTGAAACCCTAAAAAACCAGATGCGGTCTATTGCTGCTCTAAACCTTCAATTATTATGGGAGTGGTTTATTGTAGCAGATCCAGAATCTGATCTGCCAATACTTGATTTTTGGGAGGTGAGTTGTTTCATCTTTTCTCTGGCTGCCTTGATCCTCTGTTTAGCTAATGGCCTATTGCGTTGAAACGTTTGTATCCTAAAAATGATGGAGTTAAAGTTTCTCTTTTCACTCGAGCAAAATAAATCTATGAAGGCTAAAAACAAGAACAACAGTGATCAGTTTTTTTATTTTGGAATATACTCGAAATACTTACTAAGTTATGCGAAAATTCTCCAAATAGTAACTCTCCTTTTGTGACTACTTTCTAAATTTCGAAATGTAGTGCTCTCGTCATTTCTTAGTTTTCCAATTAAAGCAGCTCATGTAAAATTTATTGTGGGACTCACAAACCAAAACTGATCTATTTGTCTTGAAATTCATGTTTTAGAATATTCATAAAACAGTCAGGTACCTACCTATTTACCTTTTTGATTTAATTATTCCGTCTAATCTCAAAGATATAAAAGGTATATTCTCGATTTTTCTAGTGAGAAAACTTTCCCGATTTCACTATTTTCAATTCTTAATTCAACCATTTCTATGTCTTTCTCATTTCCATAATAGAGAAAATCGGAAAAGGGCTCGGAGTGCCAGAGCAGGAGCTTATGGGTGGTTCAATCGACAGGAAAATCCGTAAGCCCAAAGTAAAAAATCCGTTTCCGCCATGCTCAGATTGGAAAACTTATTGAAATTACTTGGCGTGGAGGGATCTCGCGGATCGCTGATTTCTCCAAGCCCGGAATCCTTTCCAATTTGGCTCCGGGCCGTGGCGAACATCTTTGATATAATTAACTGGGGGTATTTTGTTTGTAAAGGGGAGAAAATTATGGCTCAAGTTGTTAGGGCGTAGAAACCTCCATCGGGTCTGGATTTATTAAAAATAATAAGACGTTTTAATGCGATTAATTATTTGGTCTCCTTTTTCAAACTTATTCAAAAGAAAAATCCTATAGGGGGGCGTCAAAGATTTGTTTGTCTATCTAGAAATCATATGCTTGGTAGATTTGGATTTTACTCGCCTTCTGACAGTCTTTAAACAACAAAATATTTCTATATTTCATGATTTCAATTATTTTTTGTTTTGAATAAATCTCTAATTTAACAACTGTTTTTAGATCACTGCGGAAAATGCAAGGCCGCCACAAAAAGACTAAACATGAACAAATACTGCAAAAGAGATTACGGTAAGTAAAACTATACCTACCTACAAAAACCAGCAATTAATAAATAAATAATTTTCAGTAAATTAATGAAAATTAATTAAACGAAAATGAGAATAATGTATTTCCGCCTGTTCACCCCTGCGGGCCATCGAATTTGAAAAACAAAACTCATTTTAATATCAGCATAATATTTATATGCTAAATTGATTTTATTAATGTTAAGCTTAATTTAAATTTATTTATTTTATGTGAAGTTCTATTTAATTTCCAGTTATGACTAGGAACTTATACATTCTTCACTTTTGCATTACTTGAATCAGTTTATTATTTCAACCATTTGATTTTAGACTTAAATACTTCGATCTAATTTATTCCTATCAAAGTAAACACGGTAATATTTTCTCTGCTACTTAAGTTTACTCGAGAATTCATAAAGATTCCTGGCGCCCACTCCCTGATCCGAAAAGTACTCACTGAATGGGACTGTTCCAGACTTCCAGTGTAAATATTTAAAAGCGTGTTCCAAAAAGTGTCGGCATTCTCGACTAAACAAATAATTTTGAAATTATGAATACATATCCCAAAAATAAATTTATAGTCGTAGTTACTAAAAGTGTAATGTTGCAAATAAAAGTCTAAAAATACCATTTGGAAATTCTAACTGCAGCAATTTATCCAGATTTTTTTTTTTGTTTCGTTTCAGCTTTGATAGCCAAGGTCCTATCCCAGATCGAAAACAGCGACGAAGAGCACACCAAAGGCTGGGCCAGGTTTATGATCAACGTAGAATACATCTACAAGAAACCGAAAGGTACCAGAATTCGCACTGGCACTATGCGCATGCTCGTGCCGATGGCTGATTTGAATTGTAATTGCCCCAAGATTAAAGCAAATAGGTAAGAAATTATCGGAATATTTCATAAATTGTTCCTAGAGTCTGATGAATCAGATCGTGAAACTTATGGGTATCACTTCCAAATGGTTTTAATCAATGTCCAATTATTACCACTTATAGACGGAGCATTCACTTATATACCTACTAAAACCAGTTGAGATTTGCAATAAAATGAAAACAACAAAATACAAAATCACTGTTCCCGTTCAATAGCAAATTTTCTACTTGAAGAGTATTTACTTTTACATGAATGAATTGTGATTATTTTTACACTGCGACCTGCATAGATCTATTATGTCCCCCTTAAAGGGGGTGTGACCCTAAAAAACGACTTAAGCTACTTAAATCAAGAAAAAAATTCTTAGATCTCTCGTGAAAACCGCAGTCCTGTATTCAAAATAGTCTCCAAGAAAATTCCTTGTGAAGATCAATTATGCAGGAAGTTGTGATGTCACAACTGCCGAAATCGCAGTTTTCTGGTCGTTCAGTCGTCAGTGAACCGTACCCTATACTTTGAGTAGTTGCAATTCGCTCTAGGAGATAATTATCTTTTGTTTTGGAGAATTCTTACACGTGTTAATACTGTCCCTGAAAATCCAGTGTGACGTCACAAACGCCTAGTTATAACTTTAAACCGCCCGAACTCGAAAACGTACCATCGTAGCAAGATGCGGTTTGAATATTTATTCTTAGATTTTTTTGCACTAAAACTTTAATTTTTGGGTCACACCTCCTTTAAGGGTGCTTCAGTTGAGAGGACTCTCACTCGAAGCACCTCATCCAGCTTTAAAGCTTCTATGAAAGCAAGTAGGCTGGATGATTCTATGGATGGAATTTCTTCCCGTTCAACGGTGCAACATTCGAAACAGGCCATTCGTATGTTCACGATCGCCTCGCACTCCGTGAGAAGGTGTTCTGAATTTTCCTCAGAACCGGCAGCTGTCCTCGTTTTCGATTATCGATAGTGGCCTGTAAGGAATCCAGTTAGAATGCGAAGATTGTTTTTAACTTGGTGATATAAGGTCTTTTGGTCTTCCTTGGTGAGGAGGCCTCGTTGATTGCCTCAACTCTTGAAGTTGTCTACAGAGGCTGATCCATATGGTCCGCTCTTCCTTCCTGAACGATTGCTTATAGGTGTGTGTCCCTATGCCACAGAAAGGCTCTGGTCCTGAAAGCGGAGTTTGTGCTCCCAATTTCGCCAATTGGTCCGCTTCGATTCCTGCGTGTCCCGGTATCCACTTGTCCAGGCATTCCCAAACCATTCTGGAGCTCATTATTGGTGAGTTCAGCGCTTTAATGGCTGCTTGGCCGTCTGAGAATGATAACTATCTTTTTATAGCTTCTGTGAAGAATAAACTCAGTACATCTACTTATAGCGTTTATTTCCGCCTGAAATTTGTACGAGTCTTTTTCCTTTGCTTCGGAGAATGTGATTCCAAGCCATAGTACTCCAGCTCTGTTCCCTTGTTCAGTTTTTGACCCATCAGTATATAATTTTATGTCATTCTGCTGCATCGTAAGAAGGGATGTGGTGTTTCCTTTTATTCTCCTCTGCTTCTTATCGCTTGTGTGAAGCGTCTCTCAAAACTATATGTTTTGATTATATACAGTGTGCGCCATAAAGTTGGGTTGTTACAAATAAAATAGAAATTTTTGTTACTTTAAGAAAAGATAACCTAAGAAAAATTAAGATAACGTGTAGCCCCTTTGTGTGCAAATGAAACCACTCAAAATCCAACAAACAATAATTTTATTTAGTGTACAATATTTTGTAGTCAATTTCAGTGTTAACAGCTTGGTTTTTCTTGGTGAATCTGATACCAAGTACCTCCTTTCCAATCCGTAGCTCTTCAATGGATGTTGGGGTTTCACTTTCGTGAACTGGAGATCTTCGTGTGCTGGGGTGACGTCACTCCAGCTGATCCAGACTCCAAACAGTGATCTTTAGGTAAAGTAGGTACCCAGAAAAGAATAAGGCAGTATCAGGTTCACCAATATTTGGAATATTAAATCCCTGAATTCTGTCAAAAAAGTGAGCGTCTTGCAAAGAAAATTTAAATTGAAATTTAATATAAAATTATTGTTGTACAGACACTCCCTTCCAACAGAATCAGATATGAATAGTTATTGCAAGTTGAAAAAAAAAATATATTTTAATATAAAAAAAAAATAATCAAATAGTTAAGATTAATGGTCGGATAATAAAAAAAATTTAATAATAACAAGATTAAATTAAAATGCTCGTTATAATTGAGCAAAATGCTACTTTCCTCAGCAGTTCTGGCAAGCAAAAATAAGGTAGGTAAGAAAAATAAAAAATGAAATCTCTGGATTCTCCCCCAAATAGACAAAATCTTCCTCTCGAATTAAGTTAGCTACCACAGATACTAGATAAACCTAGAGTTGAAATTAATCAAATCCAGAATGTGTCAAAATTCTTGAGATGTTTTAATTCAAACTTTTTTACTGAATTTTTGACCTGTCTGGATTTCTATTAAAAAATTACACCCTTTAGTTAAGATAATAATTTAGGGAATCAAACAGAAAATAGTTGTTCAGGCCTCTGCCTGGATTCAATAAAGAATTAATGAGGATGGACTCGCAAATTTGGTTCTCACCGACTCTATTTAGAGCAAATGGTCCAATATTCCCACACTAGAAATTGATTCTGAAAGCCAGAGCAGCAGTACCTATCTAAAATCCAAAAATCTGTCTTGACTTACCTCTTAAAAACGTGGCACTAACCAATAAGCAATTCACACAAAATGGAAGCCAACAATTAGATAAAAAACTTAAAATATAATATTTATATTTCAAAAACAGATAAGATAAGATTTTATCAGGTAAAAACTTAATAAAGATATGATAATATGAATTGATAAAATCTACAAGAGAGAATCCAGAAATTCAAAGCACAAAATTATTTAAAAATAAAGAGGACTTGCCTGCCAGAGTCGCTTTCAAGGAAAAGAGAGCGTTTTAGAAACCCCAGCCAGCAGAAAAACGATCCTGTGTTTTTTATACTTAACCTCATTCCAACCAGCTTCAACTAATCAGACGAGTACACCCAAAAGACCATATTCACTTCAAAATGAAAACACAGTGAAAGACCGCATGGAATAAAAGAGAATGGATAAAAATCCACTAAAATTATTTCAATTGTTTACAAATTATAATAAGTTAAATTAAGGTTATATCAAAAATAAAAAACTGTTAATTAATTAGATCATTAAGCCAAAAAATGATTATTTCAGAATCAGAAGTTAGAAAAGGACAGAAATATATCTATTTGCTAAAAGTGAGATAAATATAATTTCTTTCAATGAAAATACAAATGACTGTCAAATGCGAATTTAAAAATCATACTTTGAAATATAGATCATCGGGCACTAGATGGCAGTACCGGTAGGATATTTGCATTTTACAGACATGATGGATAGATGGCAGCACTTGTTTTATTTGAAATTTTGTGGATATTTTTAGAATATTAGAAATTATTTTGAATTCTGAAATGGAAAAAATACAACTTTATAATGAAAATAAGAAGAGATGGAACATGTTACGTAAATGATAAATTTATCGTAACAGGGTACATATGGGAAAATTCTTAATTATTCCTTTTGTCAAAAAACTTTTTTTGGGGATCGTTAGGGCATGTTCGATAACCAAAAAATCGATTATGACACATGTCATGTTATTTTTCTGATGACCAGAAAATGTGCAAAAAGGGACATGGGTAGAGAGCGACACGACCGGACGGTATTTTCTAATTTATGTTTTTTTCTCTGATTTGCTTCAAAATCGGCATGTGGAGTTCTTTTTGGATTCTGAACAACTTTTTATTATAATTTTTTTTTGATATCTTTCCAAATTTACCCGTTTTTCGACATCAATATCAACTTTTTTCAAAATTCCCGCTAAACCGATAATCGCATGACATGTGTCATAATCGATTTTTTGGTTATCGAACATGCTCTAACGATCCCCGAAAAAAGTTTTTTGAAAAAAGGAATAATTAAGAATGTTTCCATATGTACCCAACTTTATGGCGCACACTGTATATTATCCCTGGAAAGCTCGATAAGCGGAATAAGCTTAGTTAGAGATGCCAATTTTTTCAAGCCAACCTCCCTCCTTCGTGATTCTAGTTATTGCTCATTTAGCATCCGCCTCTACCACGATATGAAAAGTTTATCGAGAGCTGCTTCTATGGTCTGCTTCTCAACTTCCTTAAACCAGACTATCGATCCATATACTATAGGGTTGGTCTCACTTTCATGGTGTACATCCATCTCAAGATCCCTGGTCTCCATCCCTAGGTTATGCCTGCAAGGTTTCGGCACACCATGAGAGCACTTGTAGCCTTGGTTACAATTCCTCCAATGTGTTTTCTCCTTCTGAGTTTGCATTCCAGCGTTATGCCGAGATATCTGACTTTCGTCACCGGTATAATAGTAGTTCCGTGTATTCGGATGTCCTTCATTCTAGGAAATCCTCTTGTTAAAAATAATGTTGAATTGTCTTGAAAACATAATGAAAAGTGAATCAATCAAATTCCTAAAAATAAAATATAGGTACCTCTGTTTGAGAGCTGAATGTGGCTACTAAGCTGATGAGAATATGGGTGATTTTAATGCCAGCCTCCCGTTCGAAAATTTGCAGAAGAAAAAAATTGATTTACATGAAGAATTTTTTTTTAATGATCTCAAATTTTCTAGCTTTTAAATAAAATATTGACATTGATAAATAATTCACCCATGAAAAATATCAGATGCTTTTCAATAGCTGAAAAAATGGGGATGGGTGTCAACTTCCAAGAGAAAAGAAAAGAACCTTCCGCGTTCACTTTTTGTCTGGCAATCGAGGGAATGAAAGGTTTTGTTGTGAAAATAACGCTGAAAAATCGCCAGACGGTAATCACAGTTCGAAATCGAGTTTTCCGGCGAAACATTCTGTGGACATTTCGAACAGGAGGCAGGCATTAAAACCACTTATATTCTC